AAAGATATTTTCAAAAGCTGAAGTATGTATAACCTTATTACAGATCATCATCAAAAGAAACACATCTCAACCCATTTTGATAAGGAACATTGAAAATTTGAACCCAAATTGAGCACATTGTTCCTCCTCCCCGAAAAGAATTCCATTCTTCTCATTAGTAGACGTGTATATGAAAAATCATTCTCAATTATTACCAGACAGAAGTCTATCCATAAAAATTTTATGAAACATTTTCTTCTCTATAATACAGTACGTAGGCACCTACATTATAGTCTTGATTTTGCTCCTTTCAGCAAAACCTCAAATATTTTTTATCTGGTTCTGGAGCTTTCCAGAAGTATGTACCATCTCTTCATGTGTAATGCAAAAGATTTCAGACTGTACTTGATCTGGCTTCTGTGTAGTTCTCCATAACTACCCTCACCTCTTTTCTCCTCAAACACATCTCAGGCTTTCCTTCTTGAGGATTTTTTTTTGGTAGTGGGAATCGAACGCAGGACCTTGCACTTGCCAGGCAGGAGCTGTGCTGCTGAGCTGTATCACCAGCCCTGGACTTTTATATTTGCTGCATCTTCTCCCTTGAATACCTTCAAAGGTTCATGCTTATCCTTTCGGTCTCATGGAAAATATCATCTAGTGTAGTCTCCATCCCTACTTATACTTGCCCCTCACAATTATCTTGCTTATTTATCTTTCACTGAATCATTGTCTTTTTTACCAACTTGGAAGCTCCATAAAATTTTGTTGTTTAATTTATCACTGACTGGCACATAATTGATGCTCTAAAATTATTATTATTTTTTATACATAGGAATAAGGCAGGAAGTTAGTAGGCATTAAAGCTCTAATGGTGTAAGTCATAACAGCAGTCCTCTAAGTCTTCCAATATGATTACTCTCTGGTCAGGTTTTCAGTGCTTTTAGCTTTACCACAATCTACGTGTTAAGCATAAAAAGAATAATTTTTACAATTGTCTCTGATTCTGAGATAGCTACCTGTAAGTGTAGTTATGCCCACTGTTTGCAAAAACATTTAAGGTTGCATTTTACTCACCTTCACATTTATTCTCCAAAGTACAGCAAGTTCCAGTTAATACTTCCCCAATCCAGAAGCCTAATCATAAGCCTAGCTAGGTTTTCTGTGGGATCCTCCTCCGTGGATATGAGTAAGAGCCTTGGCCATGCCTACTGGTGGCTTTCCATCAGTCCTGTTGCCCTTGTGGTTAGGCTACTTGGGTGTGGTTAGGCTAGATGGGCGGTGTCACCTAGGAACTTGCTAGATATGCAGAATCTTGGACTCCACTCCAGACCTGCTAAATCAAAATCTGCTATTTAAAAAGATCCCTGGGTGAATTTTATGTCACAGGCAGGCCTGAATGCTGGTTGATCCATAAACCTGGAAGATGGTCCCAGCTAGCCTGTTTGCTGCCACCATCATCCCTTGAGGACCCTCCAGGGAGCTCTGCTCCATTTGGCACAGCTGGGTCATGATGATGACTGCTGTGTTACCCTCCCTCTCTTTGGGGGAAAGGTCACAGCTCTTGTTTACCCAAGTCACCCCACGAAAGGGCAAAAGCTCAGTAGAGTACAGATGGTAAACTTTAGCAAAGCCTAGCTGTTGATTTGGAAATACAATATGCTAGAATCTTCCTGAGATATTCCTTCACCCCTTTTTGGGTCTTTTTGTCCTGTGGCCCAGGATGACTCGGTTTCTATCACTAGAATAGCTCAAGGCAGCTCCCTGCTCCAGAGTCCCGAGCAAACCAAATCCTGAGACGGAAAGAGAAGAAAATGTTTCCTGGACTTCAGCTGTAGGATTTCTGTCCAAGCCCCTTTTCTTCACCCAATATTGACCTTTTCCAGGATGACTGACAGTGAGAACATCCATTCCCTTTAGGGGAAACCTCACCCCCACCCACAGGGGTGTGGTCTGACATATAATTGTTTGACATAAGCACATTCTCCAAAGTCCAGGTTATTTGGCCTTAAATAATACCATATGTGGAATAGCAGCAGCCCTGGCAACTTCCTTTTCAATTTCTTCTCATCAGAGGTTCTGAGATCTAGGAAGCTGGCCTCGTTCTGGGTTACCTGGTTGCCTAAGAATTCACTCAGCATTCAGGTAAAGCCCATTAAAAGGCAGTTATATATTTACAGAAGGATCAAAAAGCAATTAAAGAGAATGGCTGAAATGTGAATAATAATATGTGAGGTGTCATTTTCTCTTGGTCTCTCTAAACAAGAAGTATTAAAAGGTATTGCAGGGGCTGGGGATATAGCTTAATGGCACAGTGCCTGCCTGACAAGCTTAAGGTCCTGAGTTCGATTCCTAGTACCAGGAAAAAAAAAAAAAAGGTATTAGAAAATTTACCTGCCACTTCTGAATTGCACACACACCGACTCCGAAGAAGTTAGCTATTGTTGGTGTCTCTGAACAGAGCTTGTAGAATGACTTCAGATTGCTTAACACTGTCTTCAAAACTCTGCCTGATGAAAATTTTTAGTTTGGCTTTTCCATTGTAGAGTTTTTATGTGAGCTTTACGCTTTAAAAATAAGTTATGTTGGTTGGAAGGCAAATTTTCTGCAGAAATATTTTCTAGAGTTTAGAAAACAGAAAGAACAATTCATAAGAAACCCTTGCTGTTTGTTGAATTTATTTATTTATTTTTATTTTTTATTTTTGGTTTTTCTCTGGTACCGGGAACCGAACTCACGTCCTTGCGCTTGCCAGGCAGGCGCTTTTGCCGCTGAGCTAAATCCCCAGCCCCCTGTTTGTTGAATTTAATAAAAACATCTTATATTTGTATAACTATGAAGCATTTCACACACAGTATCCCATTTTATCCTTTCATCAGCCCTGGAGTTTATTAGAGCAGTGTTGTTATTCCCATTTTAGGGAATTGGGCAACTGAAGACCAGAGAAGAAAAGTGTCTGAAAAGTAAATAAGGCTTCCGCCAGTCTTTGACCCTAAATTCAATCCTCATTCTAGTTTAAAAGATATTTGAGTGTAAGACATTAAGCTACGTCAATGATGGCGAACCTTTTAGAACTTTCAATGAGAGAAACAGCCCACTGCGGCACCCGTGCCAAAGGTTCGCCATCACTAGTCTAGATGCCCAAGATCCAGTCCTGTGCCTGAGCTGTCTACTTGGCTTAGAGAAGCAGCCACTCATTAAGAGGTCATTTCTGAGTCCTTCCTCCTAAGGCTGAGAGGTCTGTACAACAGAGCTCTGACCCGTACTTTTTCCTACTCTTTCTCCTCATTATTTCCTCTCATTTATTCTCAGATTTACGTTTTTTCCACTTTGCTCCCTCTGGCTTCACATGACTCTTAAAAGGCTTCACTCTTAACATCCCGAGTGACTCAGTGTGAAGGAAACAGAGCAGATGCAGAGAAGGAAGCGGAGGAGGGGGTGTGGAGGGCAGGTGTGGAAAGCAGCTTAGCCCAGATACACGGATTTCTACCTCCAGACTAGTATTCTGAGCTGTTCCCCGCTGCTCTGGAATCTCCGTAAACACAGGATTTGTCTGGAATGACTTTACAGCTCAGCGGGAAGCTCGCTAAGTGCCAGGACGCTCAAACTGTGAGCGCAGCTCAGCAGTGGAGGGATGACGAGCTGCCAGTCCTGGCCTGCCTACGCCCATCCTGCGGGTGCCCAGTTAACCTGGGGAGGCCACAGAGGCTCTCTCTCTCCCTCTCTCTCCCTCCCTCTCTCTCTCTCTCTCTCTCTCTCTCTGTCTCTCTCTCTCTCTCTGTGTGTGTGTGTGTGTGTGTGTGTGTGTGTGTGTGTGAGACCTTGCAAAGGTATCACTACATCTTCGCGTTGCTCTGGGGAGCTATGTCTCCCAGAAAGCCATGAAAACAATAGCCCGTTTCTCAAGAAAAAAAATTTTTTTTTCTGTGGTGAGATTTCACTTAGCAATACCTTTTCTTCGCAAAGTCATTTTTATAGGAAGAACCTCAGTCTTTCCTGCTGCCGTTGGAGTTTCTTTCCTCTTTTGTTCCTTAACGGTACATGTTTTCCCAAGAGCTACAGGTAATTTCCATCTCACTGTTGTGACTGAGACCTAGGGCTTTTAAGTAAGAGGGCAAGACAAGAGCAAAAGGTGGGTGGCTGGTGTCTGGAAAGTGGTCCACCTCTGCCGGCAAGGGGGCCTCCGGTGCGGGTTTAGGAACCCAGGGCGGAACCTCAGAGAAGCAGTGCTACAACTTGGGAGGCCGGGCAGAGCTGTCCGTGGGTCAACAATGCCCCGAAGATGAGCAGATTGCCCTCCACAGGTGCCTCAGCAGTCCCAAATGGCCTGCTCCGATGACCAACTCTTCCATGAAATGTAGTAATTGATCTTAATTTTATAACACTTGTGGGCAGTAGCTCTCTAAGATTGAAAATCTGGTAACACTGCTTCCTAGCTGTATGGATGGAATTCTCCAGAGAAACAGAAACCAGTACATAGATATTTGTATCTACACCTCCTCCTATAGGATATCCTAATGTGTATGTATCTGTATCTGTGTCTATATTATCTACCTATCTATCAGTCATGAATTGTCTATCCATCTACCAGTCAATTTATATCTATCTACTTACATGTCTATCACCTATCAATCCTATCTTGATTCCAAGGCAGAAACTGCCAGACACTGAGGCAGAATATTAATTTCTGTAGAAGACAGAAAGGTTGGAGCTTGGTTAATCAGGAGTGTGAAAGAGTGATTAGAGATGAAGCTCTGAACTCTTCTCATTTGTATCCTATGTCCTTGAAAATAAACCTATTTCACTCTTAGGGCAATTGCAGTCATGTCATCTACTCAAATATTCTCTTTTTTTTTTTTTTTTTTTTTTTTTTTTTTCTACAGTACCGGGAACCGAACTCACGACCTTGCGCTTGCCAGGCAGG